GACTGAATTTTGACCCTGTGGAACATGAGCTCCCCAGCCCCTGGTTTGCACTGTTCTATTTCCTGTCTTTGTGCATCTGACAACTGTAGGGATCTCTTGGCAGTGTGTCCTTTGTGTCTGGCTTTTTTACTGACCATCACATCCTCAAGTTCACCTGTACTGTAGTGTGTGTCCTGACTTCTTTCCTTTTCATCGCTAAATACTATTCCCTTCAACCTTTGAATGCTTGGGTTACTTCCATGTTTTAACAACTATGGATCTTGCTGCTATGAACATGGCTGTAGCTTTTAAAATGCTTATGTTGACCTTGTTGCCCTGGCTTTGAGAGGATTGTTTAATGTCTGCTGGAGTTTTAAAACATAAAACCGACCAAAATGAGCCTTTAGAAGGTAGTCCCATCTTAGAGGAATAGAAGCAGACGCATGAAAAGTGTGTCAGCTATTCTTCCCCCACCCCGAGTCTTCTCAAATATCTTGTTAGGTATCTTGGCCTTCATCCTCTCTTGTCAGCTTCCTGAGGCATCCGGGATGGGTCCTCATTTGTGGTCTGAGGGTGTGGAAGGGACTGACCCTGGTCCCTGAGGCTGCCAAGATGGTGGCCCATGCAGACACCGAGAATGGGACCAAAGAGTCACCGGGGAGGGGCAGTTGCCAGAGGCAGGACTCGGGAGATGCCGCCCTTTTCTGGCTTCAGGTCGTAGAACAGTCCCGAGGCTGGAGTCTCCTTAGGGCCCAAAGGTCAGCCTCGCTACAGCCATTTTCTGATGGTTGTGGAAGTGCTCAGAATCGGCTTTCCTGTTCCGGCACTGACTTCCGGTTCAGGCACTGACTTCTGGCTCTGTCTCTGTGCGTCCGAGTTGCAGTTTCCCTCCCTGGAAAGTGGGGCTCCTCGTGGGGCGCATTCTGTGGGTTCGCCCTTCCTGGGGGCCCCGCCGCTGGCCGAATCTGGCCCTGTTTCTGACTCTGGCCTCCGACGGTCTCCCACCCACCTCCTGGGGCGTGACGACCCCCGAGGGAGGGCATCCCGACCCCCAGGGGGCGCAGCTCGGACTGGGCTGGAATCTCCAGCGCTGGGCATTTTGAGGAAGTGGAAGCCAGGGCCTGGCTGACCAGCTGCTCTGGCCAAACCCGCTGGCGTTTGCTCTCGGGGAGGACACCTCAGCTGCTCCCTGCCGGTCAAAGAGATGGGTGAGGCCAGGGGCCGGCGAGTGCCAGGGGAACTAACTGATGAGCAAGGACGCGGGCAGACACGGGCAGCCGAGCCGGGGGACCCTCCGCCCTGCCTCTGCAATCCTGTCTTCGCCTTAGGGTCCCTGAAAGTTGAGTTGCTCCGTTTGCAGATCATCATCAGGTGTCAGACATTTAGGTGTATGGTGTTGAGGGTTAGATTTGAGGCAGAATGTTTAGCTTCCTGTTTTGTTGTTGTTTGAGACATGATCTTGCTGTGTAGTCCAGGCTGGCCTTGAACTCACAGCAATCCTCCTGTCTCAGCCTTCTGAGTGCTGGGATGACAGGCGTGTGCCACCAGGCCTGGTTTAGCTTCCTATTAAAACCACCTCCTCTTCTTTTTTTGTTTTTCCTCCTCTTCCTTCCTCCCTCTCCCTTCCTCCCGCTTCTTGTTGTACTTCTGTGCTCATTCTGAAAGGTGGTGAAATGCACGGGAGAGAGGAGGGGGGAGGGGGGGAGGGAGAGAATTAACCAAGGAGGAAGCTGTTCTTATTCATCATGAGTTAGCTGCCTCCTGCGAGACTGAGCTCTCCTGGAGACAGGGACAGGGATGTTGGTGCTTCCTGTGGAGTTCCTAGCTCCGTCATGATGCCTGACTGATAGTCAAGAAGATAGCTGATCATCAGATAGCTGATGCTGGCTGAGCACATGCTATGTAAGCACTCGTCAAGTGCTGCTCATGGTCGCCACCCCTCAGCCTGTGGGAGTGTGTTATCCCCATTTCACAGAGGAGGAAACCTGGCCTGGGA